TTAAACTCTTCGGATAAAATATAATCGTAAAAATGAACTAAAATCAAGAAGTTGATGTAACGACATCTTTTATTTGTATTGCTTTTCAAGAAAAATCGGATGTGAGGATGGCCAAGCGTTACGGAATTTCATTTTTTTATCGTTTATAGTTTACATCTCTGTAGCGGTAGGAGTAAATGTTCAGAGATTTTTATCAGAAGTAGAGCTTCTCGTGATCTATCATTATAATAAAGTTCTTTCAATTTCGCTGAAGTCAAACAAAGCCATAGTGAAAACACAGTCCGTTACGGAATTTCATAAAATGGAAATTTTTTTTAATGGCCCTAAAAACTTTGCATATTGCTACGAAACAGAGCAACTTAGAGAAAAACACACCATACAAAAGTTATGCAGTGGTTCATGAGCTCTTAGAATATGATCCTATTTGGCGACCAAAATGGCAACATTAAATAAAAATCTAAAAGTACCACTTGTTACGGAATTTCATTCGTTACGGAATTTCTTTCTTTTTTTTCGATGCTTTAGTAAAAAGATTCCACAACTGAAAAATCCCACAGATTATGAAATAAATGAAATTATATTCTGGTTTTTGGTTTGTTTAACTACATATTTTACTAATTTAATTTTAAATATTTTTTATTAATATACGTAGTTCAGCTTCACATCGTTTTTTTCAATAAGATAAACAAAAACACGCAGTATAAAATAATATCTATTAAAAACGTACAATTTTCTTTTTCGAACTAAATGAAAAGGTTTTGCATTCAACTTTGTTAACATCAATAACAGCTATAGAATGTATCTTTTGAATTTCTGGAATAGATTTTGTCTCCAAAAATGATACTGAAAGTTTATTTTTAATACTTTCAACGTCATCTGCTACAAGTTCATGAACAAGTATAGGTGTTTGTTTTTCCTTGATCAAACTGACGAAATCATATGCGTCTTTACACTTCTTTCCGACCATAACATCTTGAAAGACCATTCTTTTTACAGTACCACCGAGCGCATCGACAACACCAAAATAGCTGATGAAACAAATTTTATATATGTCCCCTAGTCTAACTCATTGTGATGTAGATGAGAAAAATAATTTTTAGAAAACTGTCTTTTTTTCAAAACTTGCAGTACTCTACTTTAGTAATATTCACCTTTGCCGTGACTAGTAGCAAAAAAATGCCACGATAATGTCATACTAAATTGATTAGCCAATATCGATAAACCTTTAATTGAATATTGATTTTTGAATTGAGAAGAACTACCATCACTAATTATGATTATTTCATCTAATGATGGTATTAAAGATTTTAATAATGAAAAAATATATTCTAAACATGCTTTTTTACGCATCCGATCTTTCTGTTTCATTTTATGGGATAATCCTGCAGCTTTCTTTTTTTCCCGACAACGTCGAGCTCTTTCAGCACCAGAAAGAGCCATTAAATAATAAAAGTCGGATTTCAGTACAAAAAAAAATATCTGAAACTTTAAGAATTCTGTTGATCAAAGAAACAAAACAGGTCATATATTAAATACGAGAAACATAATAAATAATAATTTAAGTATAAAAAAAATACTCAAAAGCATATTTTACTTGAGATAATAGAAAAATATCAAGATTTCTTGTACATTTACTAAAACTGCGTTCAGTTGAAGAAATTCCGTAACGATGTATTGGTTGAAAATTTTCTCAATAATTAAAGCAAAGTTTAATCAACAATAGTTCATTCGATAGCTCTTCAAAAGATACACATTTGCATTTAAAATCTTCGAAGTCAGTTACTTTATAAGATAGAAAAAAAGAAAAAAAAGCAAATTTCGTTACGGAATTTCATGAAAATGTTGAATGGTGTTTGAATATATTATCTTCCTACAAAACTCTTCGAATACATTGTTTTGCTAGTATTTGGAAAGAGTAAATCTTTAGCCATTGAATAGTATCCAGTTAGTTCAAAAATATTTATTTCATTCCTATTTTATTTATATTTTATTCGTAACAGCAAAAGAAATTCGTTTTTTATGTTTCGTTGTTCGAACATATACGGCTAGCTTCAACGAATAGAAAGTTATTCGGTATCTAGCAACGTCTGTTGTATAAACTATTAATCATCCTCTTTGACACAAAATATTAAATATCCTGATTCTTTGACTTCGAACCTTCGACATCGAAGGTGACCGTTAGCTGGCCAAGCTCTTGTGCGATTTCTTTGTCCGATTTAATTGTGAAGCATTTTTCCAACAAAATGGATGAGATTTCGAATGTTCATTTGATTATCTTGATCATGACTCTGACAATCACACAATACACTACTGTCAAGTAGTAAGAGGTTGTACATCAAGGAGTACCGTGGTCTATATCTATTTTATGACGACTGCATATCTTCGCATTTTATACAAATATATATAGATGCAATGATTTATAGCAAGAGAAAGCTCGCATATTGTTTTCGTACATGAAGGTTGTGCAGAGTCTCAGTTTTGCTTAGTATTTCTCCACATTGGATCCTACCGCTTTCTCTATGGTCACAGAGATATAAAATAGTAATATTAAATTATGTAAATAGAGAGAATATGATAGAATACTTTCTTCGTCCTTCACATATATCACAATTAATAATTATTTCACTTCAATGACATCGAATAGAGTAAACACTTGGGGCATACCAAAAGTAATAGCGGAGGTATTTTAATTCCTTATAAAAAGCTTAGAGAAACTTTTCTGTATATGAACTCATAATAAAAACAATGCTCTACTCTTCTGTACTATAACATCACTCTTCAAGTAATATCATAATAATAAAATTTCGATAAGAGCTATTTTTCTATCATATACGACAGTTATACAAATGCCTACTTATAAGAAGGCTGAATGAATTATTTTTTTGAATAACTATTGAAAAAAACAAGATAGAGAGCTGCAATTTTCGTCATTCGAAAGAGGTAATAAAGATGCATTGAATCGCATATAACAGGTTTTCATAGAATATTGTCTGATGTTTGTTTAATCAATTTTTGAAGTGCCGAAAAATGGCTTTTTCACAAAAAGAGAAATGTAAAAAACAAAATTTCTCCGAGAAATTTTTGCAGATCTTCCATTAATGATTTGAATGCACACCTCACAATTGAAAATTCACTATAAAAACTTCGTAGGAGTAAGTTTGTTTTCAAAGAGATCGATTAAAAAGCCTCAAAGAATCATGTCCAAAAATCTGTTACATGCGATTCAATGCATCTTCATTTTCTCTTTCAAACGATGAAAAAAACTGCAGCTCTCT